GGGGGGGGAATAACAATCCTGAAACCCTACAGCACTTTCCTGCAACCCAACATCTGTTTCCATGGGAACAGCAGGAGAGTTGCAGGAATTCCTGCAAATTACACAAATAAGCCCCACGGTAAGGTTTTTATTTACCTCCTCCCCACCTCACTTCAGGCTGAGCCAGCTCAAGCCAGGGAGCTCAAACCCCCTCCTGCCTGGGGAAGGTGGGGTGAGCTGCACTGAGCAGGCCAGGAGGTAGAGAAAACAGGGGGGAAAAAAAAAAAAAAGCAGCAAAAAATCACCCCCAGCAGCCCAGCAAGAGGCTTTTCTTTTAGAAGAGATGAGGTTGTTGCAGATAAAGAGGAAAACCATGGCCTGCCCAGGCACCTCTCTGTGCCAGCAGGCAGAGCTGGTGCTTTGGCAACGCAGGGGACTGGAGACACCATCCATCCTGCCCTGTCATTTCTCCCGGAGATTTGGCGAGCTGACAGTTAATTAACTAGTTAATTAATTAATTCTCCCCTCCTGCAGGGCCCTGAGCTGGTTGCAGTGCTCGGGGAGTCACCTTAACACGAGCAGACAGGAGCCAAGAGCTCCGGGATCTCTCCATCAGCATCTTTACCACGGGGGAGAAGTCCACCAGCTGTGTGTGCCCGTTTGACAAACACACTGAGACATCCCTCCAGACAGGCAGGCACTTGGAAAAGACAGTGCTGGGCAAAAAAAAACCCAAAAAAACACCCACATAAACCCACCCTCGTGCACAGGAACGTTCCAAACCAGGCCCACGCAGCAGAACGAGCTCTGAGCTGCCTCGCTGTGGCTTTGTGTGCTTTTGGTAAAAATAGAGGATAATTCCATGTTTACACACGGCTGGAAAAGAGCTGTTTGCTGCCAGGAGGAGGGTTTACAGACACAGCAGGGCTGGGAGCAGCTGAGCCCCAGCCAGGGGTTCCCAGAGCACCGAATAAAGCGGTTTGCTGGGATCACAACCTGCAGCTCCTGTGTGTTCCCATCTGCCCTCCTGAGGTCAGCACATCCCAGAGCAGGGTCCAAAGTGCCCCTGGGAAAGAGCTGGGTGAGCGTCTGAGCGAGGGGAGGGACTTTGAACAGCAGCATTTTGTCCCCCAGGTCTCAGAGGCAGGAGGGTTAATCATTCATGGGCCGGGCAGAGATAAGATACAGGAGCAGGCTGCGTAAAAAGTGGATTTTAAGAGGATGTGGGTAAAGGAAATCAGCGCAGAATTCAGATTTCCTATGAAAAAAAATAGAGTTTGGTGAATGAACTCCTGATCCACCTCAAAATTTTTCATTTAAATGGCAGAGAAAGTTGGTTTCCTTTCCTTTGGGGGTTAAATGTTGGAGCATTTTGTGCTTTAAAAAGAAAAGGGGAAAAAAAAATCACAAAAAAGCAGCTTGAAAACAAAACCCTTTGAGGAGGTGGGTGGTGACAGGATGTCAGTCCATCAGTAATTCCATCCACACTTCCAAGGTGGGAACTGAGCAGAGCTGGGAAAAGGGGCCGGGGGCAAAGAGAAGTGAGACAGTTCAGGGGAAAAAAAAAGAAGAAAAACACCAAAG